CGTGGAAGTGTTTGGTCGCTTCTCTGCTTGGCCCATATTTAATGCATGGGCTAAGCTAAGTGCTAACATAGTTTTGCGGCAATACAGAGCGATATAGTGCACGCACTGAGACGAGAGAGGTATGTATCAACTCGTCTTAGTTAAGGGAATAACATAGTTTAATAAGAAAAACTGGTGGAGTATCCCTTTAAGTGTCACCGGCCCACCGGTGGGCCCAAAGCCATTACATTTTTAAAACCGTAATATCCTATACTAAACCTTAACTAATCTTGACTATCATTTGAAAGCTTACAATCTCTAGTTTCCATTATGTTGGAAATTTACATTATGTTCTTGCTCTGTCCATGCAATAAATGCACGTTCTTAAATGAGCGAGGTTTTCATCTTGGTATGAATCAAAAAGTCAAATCAGAGCTGTAGTATATTCATATTTAGGCTACAAGTAAATATGTAGATACATATTCATGAAGATACAACTCCTCGTAATTCACAGCTTGATAGCACGCAAACATTTCTGCCCGTTTTCGCGTTATTGTCAGCCTCTGCTTTTCCACTATAGACTGAAGCGCGTGATGCGACGCACCGTTACTTTCAGTTAATAAAGGAAAAATACTGGCGGTTTCTGACCGCAGTTATTTTTGTGACTGTTTGGGGCATTCTACAGCCCTTCATTAAACATTTCAATACAGAACCAACCTCAGATTGCTTTTAATCAATGCACAAATCGAAATCGTACAAACAGATTTTACGATCTGTTCCTAAATTATGATTGGGTGGGCAAGGCAGATGTTTGGGCGGGCTCAGCCCTCCCCTGCCCATGCCTAGAACCGGCCCTCATTTTTTTTCAAGCTGTGGATGGTTCTCTTTATCTACAGGTGTCTTTTCTTTCAAAAAGACTCAGGTGAACTATAGGTCAGCAAGTATCAGCCTGTCTGGAGATTGCCATCACACACACACACACACCTACCATCCCAACAAAGATTACCCCTGACTTCAGCACAGCCAGTCATGACCTTTAAGGTCATTCCGGCCACCAGTGCTTGTATATAAATACTCACAGTCAAGAAAGAGTGTTCAAAAAAGAAAAGAAAATGGAATTTGTTATTTAGCACAAGAGCTCTTAATGAGCTGCTCTGCTGCCCACTCTCATGGCCTCCAATGAAAACAGATGGATCTGATGCCCTCAGGCGACTCCGTCTCTGTGTCTGTGGGTTGTCCGAAGGTTACATCAATGCAGCTAGTACCCAGTCATTCTCTCTGGTAAGCCCAGAAACATCCCAGCTTTACTGTCTGGATGCTAAAGGGCTGGTGGTTTGCATCAATGTCCCTGGATTACTTCCCATTCAATCAGATGGTTTAACCCTTTTTTTTATTATTATCAGGAATCCAAGCTTTGCATGTGCATTATTATTCCTCTTAAAAAGTAATATATATGTCTTCATGTAACTTAACCTGCACAGTTTATTTTAGATTTTTCACAGGCCCATTGAGGCTTTCTTCAGAAAATGCAAATATTGCTAATACTCAGCACATTTCCCAATACTTAAAGTAGGACACTTTTTCAAAACTCTTCACACAGTTCTCCTACCTTACTTTCAGCTTGACACATTAGTTAATTCATACATTAGTTAAATCAAGTCATTCTTCCATAACACTGGCAAAGATTTGACCCAACAAATACACGTTGTAACTCATAAAACAATGACCTAAAAACACTAACAACAGGCAGCATTATACAATGTTTTCTTTTGTAAAGTTTCTTTATAAAATTCACTGCAGTATTTGTTACATAGTCCATGTTTACATTATAGTACAAGATTAGTCCTATATGTTTTCCCCTTTTATGCTAATGAAATTGAAAGAAAAACACCTGTTTGGATGTTCAGCTACATCAAATTCTTTTGATAGTAGTTCATTTTTTAGATTTGGAATATATATTTAAATATGGTATTACTGTAGAAATGTAGCAAATAGCAATTTTGAACTTAAGTTGAACAGTTTTGAAATGAGTATGTAAACGTGCAAATTGGCCTGTAGGTTCATTGTTTTGGTGGTGTTTGTTTCTAAGTGAGAAATGTATTTATGTAATTTGAAAGATTTAGTCTTTGAATGTTTTTTGAGCCAAAGCAGTGATAAATGATCCACAGTTTATGATGTTGTGCTCACTTTTGAAAAGAGTTTTGAAAAAGTAACCCAAGTACTGATGTGTACTTGGATGTGTCCTAGGGATTGTATAAAAAAAAGCTGTAAACACACTGGTTTGCAGCACACATTGTTCAAGTTATTTACCCATTGCTAATCAATCGGAAGTCAAAATAAGGTGGATATATGTATGTCATATACACTCAGAACACATATTAGACCACTAGGTCAACATACAGTAATATTACAATAATATTTTCAGCCTGTGTGTTCCTAAGGTTTACAAACAAACACAAATATAAACTGATTTGTAGGCCTATTCTGCAGTGTTTACCTCAGCTTGCATGCAGAAATGTGCACTCATTCTTTCTGACTTGCTAAAGTGGAGTGAAATGACAAGTTACTGTGGAGGTGAGCATAGTGAGGCTGGAATACTTAATGGCTTGTCAGATTTATTAGCTTGCCAGCTATTGTAATATCCTGCTGTCTGTCCTCACAAGCTGCAATGGCCTGTCAAGCACCTTTCTCCAGAGCCACAGAACTGCACTGTGAGCTTCCTGTCACAAATTTGGAGGTTTCCATGCTGTATTGTATCATTTTTGTATTCACAAAAAGTGAAGTTAGATTTAAACTCTTTTAACATAATAGCATGGTTTTTGGGCATTTACCATACTGTTATCATGAATAGGCTATAGCATCATATGCCAACCAGATTACCTTAGTATTACCATCCCTGTATTGTTTTAGTAGGGAAGGCTGAATGATTTAGTGGTGTATTAACATGTAGCCGACTGTATAGCGGTTCTCGGTGTTCCTAATGACTGTTTGTTCTCTAACCTGACAGCTTTGCAAATAAGGCATTAAAGTAACAACAGGTAACTTTTCAACCTTCATAATATATTTCCAAGTCTCTTGTGATGGTACATCGACTTACAATAGGTTGAATGACACGTCTGCCATAGCCTGACGGGGTCTGTAGCGTTTTCAATCGTACTTTTAAACTTCGGGTTTCGGGTAGTAACCGGCGAACAAAGAGAACTACAAAATTCGACTGCTTTACGGCATATACGTCACTTCCACCACCACTTCCTTAAAATCGGACTTGCGAGCCAAATGTTATAGTCATGGCCGAAGCAGCACAGAAAAACAAGAAAGCAAAGGTTTTATCGGAGCAAAGCAAAAAGAGAAAAAGAGAAAGTGATCGCGTTAAAGGCAGAACGAGGATCAACATTGCAGAGCTGCCAACTCTCACGCATTGGCCGTGAGACACCCGCATTTGATTGGTTTCACACGCTCACACGTACGCCACACCCCCGGTTTCTCACGCTAAATTGTCAACCCGGTCGGTCAAATCCCTGAAAGATGAGTTTATCTATAGATCTACCTGTTGAGCCACTCGTGATCGACAAGTTATACCGCAAATTAGTTCAAATCTCCCGGAATCTAGAGCGAGCGCGCACGCGAGACAGAGACTGTGCTCCAACGCGCGCGGACGGCAGAGAGAGAAAGCGAGCGAGAGACCTTGCGTGTGCAGGGAGCATCGAACGCCCCATCGAAAAAAGAATGCCTCTCTCTAACCTCTCTAATTCGCTAGAGTAGTAGCGAATTATCAATCTGGTAGCTAGTAAACGATATTCTAGTTTTTGATGGTTAGCTATCGCTAGTATTCTCGTTCTGATTTGAACTTTGGAATCGATGAAATGCAAATAGCAAATGTTTGACCTAAAAAGTGTAGTCTACTCAACATGTACAAAGAAAGGAGGAAGATTATTAATAAAATCATATTTTAGGATACCTAACATGTCTGTGATATTTGTTTATTTGTCTTGCCTCAAGCTATAATGCAAATCGATTTGTAAAATTTGCAGATTCATTTATGGTAGCTTGATATTATAATATTGACGATATATGGTTATTATCAACCACTCAAACATTGCATTGAAGTATCATATAGATCCAGTAAAACGGTAACCAATAGACTAGGCTACTATAATGACGCTGGCTTGTAAACGTGAGCATCGCGATCATTTGTCGTTAGAAAAAAAATAAAAGCCATGAAATTATATTCATATGACATGCTGAAATATATGCCACTGTACCTGGGATGAAGACATTTCACACGCGACGCAAGCAGAACACCTGCATGTGACCTCCTCCTACAGTGTTCAGGGCTATCCTGGTTGTCAACAATTGCACGTGCATGTAGGATGACAGAGTTTACGACAGTAGTAGAGGACAATACTGTTTCCCAACTGTAGGGGGAGCCCGAGAGCAAAAAACTACCTGTTGTTACTTTAAGCTGGTGCGCCACAGTTTCATTTACATCCTCCTGAAAAATCGATCTGCTGGGCTAATGTTGCCCGGGTAATTAAAGGGATGGAGCTCATAAACGCCCTCTGGATATGAGTAATAAAAATCAACTTACAGTCCCCATGACAGTTTTCCTCAGATGTCCTTTGAATTTCTTGCAGTTAATTGCGTTATGTCCCTTTATCGAGTGCCATGCGAAAGGGTTCAGACTGATCAATGCATTTTTTCTCCTCGATTACAAAGACTATTGATTTTTTTTCTGTGCTGTTTTATCTATCTAAGCACTGACCTGAATTTCATTTTAATGTGGCATTTGAAAACTGAATAAAGTATATTTTAAAATTAAAATTTAAAAATAAAACTATACAATAAAATAGTAGTTTAATTCAAATCAAAAAGTCACATTAAAACTTTGAGGTGAACTATCCCTTTTGCAACAATGAAACAAACATACAACACAAAATCCTTGTTTTTGAATTTTGAAATTTAAGTTTTTGAAGAGCTTGAGTTTGGTTGAGTAACTGCTTCTGTGTTATTTGTCGTTGTAGTTTGACATGCAGCGGATAACACTGGAGGAGCTGAAACACATCCTTTTTCATGCCTTCCGGGACCACCTGACGATGAAGGACATCGAGAACATCATCATCAATGAGGAGGAGAGCTTGAACGAGAACTCGGGGAACTGTCAAACAGAGTTTGAGGGAGGTGAGTGTAAACGTTGTGTGTGTGTCAGTGGTCCCGAAATGGGTTTTAAGGCCAATTCACACTGCACCGACAGACGCAGATCAATGCGGAGAATCACCAGATTAAAGGGATAGTTCACTTTGAAATTAATTTTTGATATGTTTTAGCTTACCTCAAGGGCATCCAAGATGTAGGTGTCTTTGTGTCCACAGTATTTTCAATTTTGTTATTTTTAGGTCAAACCGTTCTTGAATCTTGTCTGTCAGTCATATAATGCAGGTCTATGGGGTCCACCTCAAAGAGCATACACAGAGAAGTCCAAATTAAACATGATTTAATGACTCGTAAATGTAAGTACACATTGATGGCCTACGACACGAAACGAGCGGTTTGTGCGAGAAAACGAACAGTATTTATATCGTTTTTACCTCTTGTAATCACAGTCACGTCCAAGTACTCTGATGGCGCGGGCGCCTCTGTCTGACTCTGCACAAGCGCCGGCAAGCGCAGGAAAGCCCCGGAAGTGATCTCTCGCGCGTGTACGTCACTCATTGTTTACACAGAGATTTTGGACGTTTTACCTTTCACTGTGAAGATCTAAACATATTTAGATATACAGGAAATCGCAATGGAAGACGATTTCGGAAAGAAATTAGAAAAAAGAGAGATTTTACGTCCGAAATCTCTGTAAACAATGAGTGACGTACACGCGCTAGAGATCACTTCCGGCGCTTGCCGGCGCTTGCGCAGACAGAGGCGCCCGTGCCATCAGAGTACTTGGACGTGACTGTGATTACAAGAGGTAAAAACGATATAAATACTGTTCGTTTTCTCACACAAACCGCTCGTTTTGTGTCTTAGGCCATCAATGTGTACTTACATTTACGAGTCATTAAATCATGTTTAATTTGGACATCTCTGTGCATGCTCTTTGAGGTGGTGACCATAGACCTGCATTAAATGACTGACAGACAAGAACGGTTTGACCTAAAAATAACAAAATTGAAAATACTGTGGACACAAAGACACCTACATCTTGGATGCCCTTGAGGTAAGCTAAAACATATCAAAAATTAATTTCAAAGTGAACTATCCCTTCAAGCCCAAAGTATACTTCGGCCTCACCGTCCCCGTGATGTAATTTTCGTCATCAGGAGGGTCCGTGGACGTCCGCACACCGCACACTTAAGCCCAAAATCCACTAGATAGTGCGCACACGCCGAATGTGTCCTTAATTTTGCGTTCCACTCCGTCTCCCGCACTGTTGAGCGCACGCTTAAGTCACTCGCATATGCGCTCGCTGTTGTATGCGCACCTTCCGCTTGGTCACAAAATGTGGGCTGCACGCGGACAGGGTGTGTGGACGTCCGCGGACCCTCTTGATGGCGAAAATTTCGTCACACGGATAATGTGCGGACCTTCGTGAGAACGCGGGCAGCCAAAGAATACTTTGGGCTTCAGACATTCCTCAACCTAACAAATGCAGATTGAGCATGTTCAGTCTGTGAAAACAAAGCGCCCTCTGTCAATGCAGGGTGAATTGACCGTTAGAGTAAATTCACCGGTCAAAATACCAGTCTCGGCAAGTATTCTGGTAAACACTCGATTATGTCTTAAGTGAACGTAAACAGTTGATGTGTATCATTACATTGGATCCGCGGGGTCGGTCTTCAAGTGACAGCAGCCTATAAATACCTGCTGCTGTCTATGTCATTAATGTTAATCACAAAACACTCTAACAAATATAAATCTATATTTAATTTGTACAGTGAACACTACAGTGGTATTGTACATTTAGGCCTAATTATTACATGTCTGTAGCCTACCTGAATACATAGACCTTACTTTATTTATAAATGTATCTATGTTTTTTTTTTAATTGGTGTATTTTATCTTTTTGCTGTTCACTTGCCTTTATTATGTTTAAGCTTTAGTTAGACTTGTAGTTTTTGCAGTGGTATCGAAGTACTTAAAGTCTACTTTAAGTAATAAATGGAAAGCAAAGTTACATTTGCCATGATCCGATCCATGAATCAAAAACATTGTTTATAAATTATTTTATAGCATTATTTTATAGCTTTTAAATCCAAAGAAGAAAAGAGAAGAAAAGAGCCGAACTGACAATTAATTTTTTGCATGTTGTATATATGTGTTTTTCTATTTATTATACTTAGGCTACTTTATTGTCATTTCGTCTTCTATACATACACTTGTTATTTTGTGCATACATCTGTTGTTTACTCAGTTATTAAAAATATTGACTAAAATCATGAATATTGCAGAGTACCCTATTTAATACTCCATTTGTTTGAAATTCTTTATATTAGTGGTTCAACGGATCACAAAACCCACAGTTCGGCTCTTTTCTTCTTTGGATATAAAAGCTATAAAATAATTCTGAGCACCCTTTAAACTCCTATATAGTATCTAACTTTAAAAACAGTGTTTGTTATGATGTGTAGGTGCTTCTCTTGAGTTCATTATAGGGTTGTCTGCTTCTGTCTGTTTGTTCTTCCAAACTAATATGGGCTGATGTTAATGTTGTTGTTTCATGCATAATATAACTCCTCTTACTGCACCTCATCTCATCCTGTGATGAATAGCACAATGTTCCCCATGGTAATACACAGGGTTAATGCTCTTTTACAGTATGTGATATTCACAGCCTATTGACATGAGGTGCAATTTTTAGAAGCTTATTTCTTGGTTATTAAATCAGAGGAGTGAATTGAAAATGCTAGTTTGGATTTTGAGTAGGCAGCTCATTTCCAGATTCATGAGTGGGTGTCGTCACTGCATCTACAGGGTCACAAGAGCTCACTGTCGCATATGCTACACTACATTATGAGATCTCCCGAAACAAACTAATCATCTTATGAAACTTGTGAAAATGACTTTTGAAATTATGACGCAAACACACTATTTTAAGCCTATGTAACTCTTTGAGTGCCTCAGAACATTTAAAATGATTTTTTCCTCTTAAAAAGATTGTAAACCTAGTGAATGAATAGCACCATCAACATATGCATTTAAATAGTGGCCACTAAGGCCATATGACCAGCTCTATCTTGTATAGTGCCCCGCACATAACGTGGGTAAAAAATATATTTTTGTCACAAATTATTCATTCCCAAGACTTATTCATTCATGGAAATTCATTCATGGTTTTGTTAAATCGTGGCCACAACTTATTAATTTGTTCCCTCATTTTAGGTGAATCATGTGTCACTATAAAATGCAAAGTTATTAGAACTAGGGATTAAGAGAATAAATAAATGCTGGGGGCTGAATTCTGAATAGAATTAGCATTCATCTTCTCTGCCATGTAGTTAATCTTTATATATCTTTATAGTATCAGTTTTTAATGTTTTTAAATAGTACTTCAATTAGTAAAAATGTTGCAACAATTAACATTAGAAAGAATTTTATGCCATATCGTGTATGTTTTTTTCAGAAAGTGGTGTCTAGTTATCATCTCTGTAAATGGAAGGTCAAGTTGAGCACATTGCATTGTCCGATTAAAGGGATTGTTCATCCAAAAATCTCAATTCTGTCATCATTTACTCACCCTTGAGTTGTTCCAAACCTGTATTAATTTCTATCTTCTGCTGAACACAAAAGGAGATATTTTGAAGAATGTCAGTGACCTTTTTGACCACTTTTTTTTCCCATACTGGCACAGTGCTTTCCATAAAAGTAACTATACTGCAATTAGTTCCTAAAAACTTTTTAGCAAGTAACGCAATATTGTAATGCATTTCTTTTAAAAGTAACTTTCCCCAACACTGCTTATAAGTGTTATGATTCCAGTGTATAAATGTTCAATATGTTGGCGTATGGAACACGCTAGGACATTGTTACCATTGCAGGGGGTCAAGCACATCCCTCGAGTCTCTGTCCTACCAGCAGTAACAGATGTCCACAGCGCTAAAGCAACACTCATGATCCACACACTCTGTGTCTTTATGAATCATTCATGGAGGCACCTGGGCCGAGCTCATGTGTTGTCAACAGACCACACACTGAGACTATGTATCCAGAGACACAATTTCTTTAACACAAAAACTATATGGTGTCTATTAGAATTATCCAAGCAACAGATTTAGCGTTTTATTTGGTGATGCTAGTGACGCAGAAATGGCTCACTTAAGCTTTACAGCAGCACTATCACAAGATTTTTTTTTTGTTGAGAGGGATTTTTTTCTTGTCTTGCCATTTGAAAACAAAGTACACTTTAGCATACTTATGGAAATATGGTGGCCTACTTATTATGGAACAATATTCTTTAAAAGAACATACCTAAGTACGAACACATAATTGCATGCTAATTGCAAATAAATTAGAATATATTATAGAGTCGAATTTATATTAAATGCAGTTAAATCTGAACTTGACCCACTTAAGTAGGACTCAATTAATTCCATAATTTATTTGATTGTTTTTACAAATATGGTTAGTTAGAGAGTACTGCTGAATGTACTGACAAGAATTTATGGTAAACTAAAATAAACTTTAATGTAATCTCTATTGAAACTTGTATGTCATGCGTTTAAATATATTTGAAATTAGATTTGTAATAATGAAGTTGCAGTTTAGTAAAATATTTGAAATATATTATCTGTAATATTGTGGTTTTACCAAGTTGAACATGCTCCTAAATTAACATCCTTGTTGATCCTGGAACAACATTTCAATTAACCAATCAAATTTGAGAGATAGGTTTACAATTAATGTCTAGGATTACAACAAGGGTTTTACACCATTCTTATTCACCTATAATTTCCCTGTGATTTTAGGGATAAGTTATGGGCATGGTTAGGTTTAGAAATACATTTTCAGACAGGAATGTTGTTCCAGGATCAACAAAATATGTTTATCCAAGAACATGTCTTATTTGGCAAAATTACAGCAACCAATATGGTAATGTAATATCGAACAAAACACTACAATTAAAGTGTACTTCTTTAAAGCATGACAAAAGATAACTAAAACAACTATATAAAGTGTACTTAAAGTAACTTTCAATTTGACATTATTTCAGAGTGCACTTTTTAAAATGTACTTAAGTGTATTAAGAAACAGTCATGAAAGTGTACTCTCATTAATTTTGTTGATTTGTGTACTTACGTTATACCAAATGTTTCTAAGAATGTTTAAATCCAGAGAAATAAACAGTTTTAACCAGGACACAGACCGTGTCCGTGCGTCGCCTATCAATGACATCATACCCTCGTTTTCCATGGAAACACCAAAGATGCTTTAATATATTGTGTGTTTCATTAGACAGGTGAGAAACAGCGCTGTGTTACCCCATATACGCATGACCGGAGGAAGGGGAAGCGACATAATAAAAGCGGCTTAATAAAAGCTCCACTGCAATAGTCTCTCATTAGCAATCGCTCCAGCGGCCTCGTTCCGCTCCAACGGCTTTCGCAACTTTAATACATTACCAGTCATCCATGAATATGATTTCTGCCTGAGTCCTGTTGTATTCTCCACCGACTGTAGAGTTACTATAACTTTACACCGGCTGTAACTCCCATAATTCTGCGAAATCAAGGCGTCATTAAAGCTACGCCTTTGTTTTGAATAAACGACCTCTAGCGGTGAAAAATTACATAGTGTGCCTTTAAGTACACTTAATATGCCTTTTATTTCATTAGTTTTATATTATCTGCAAGTACGTTTTTTTTTTTTTAAACATGCTTTCAAGATTTGAAGTACACAAGTGCCCATTCAATGCAATTAAGCGCACTTCTTTTCCAGTACTCCCACAACTTTTTGAAGTTCAAAACATGCTGAGCATGCTGCGAGACATTTTATCTTGACTTCTATCTGCTGCCATTTGGAAAGGCAAGAGTGGGGCAAAATCATGTTCTCAAAGCAAAACACACTCAGGCAGAAGAGTACCTATGTTTGCTCATTATCGTGCCTCCACTCTGCCGTAACAAGGCTAGGGATTGGCTGTAGGGGGGAGAGGGGCGGGACTTCCTGACTAGCGCTCTGTGCCGGAAGGAGGACTGGAGCGGAAAATGGTATCACAGGGTGAGGCTGGCACACAATATGTCTGGCTGTGTGTTCCAGAAGCACCAAATAACTGGCTCTATTCTCAGCCCAGACCCCACTGTCACCCCACGCTTGTGAGCCGAGCAGCCACATGTGCTCAGGTGAACCGTATCCACCACCTCGCAGCTGCGCAAGAAACGCCGCTTTATTTAGACCAGTCAGATTGGCAGATGAAAGGCGGTCGGCTAGAATGCAAGTTGACACCTACACATTCAGACAGAAGTAGAAAATGCATTCAGATTCAGATCAGATGTTTCTGTCGTTTTCCTAAGGATCTCAGGACTAAATCGCTGTTTTTGTGTCATTGCAGTTCATCCTAAAAAGAAGAATCGACAGACGTGCGTGCGCAAGAGCCTGATATGCGCTTTCGCCATGGCCTTCATCATCAGCGTCATGCTCATCGCGGCCAATCAGATGCTGCGCAACGGCATGGAGTAGCGACACCACTGTGAGCGGGGCCGAGCCTGCATGTGCATGTCTGTCGATGAAGTTGTTGAAACTAACAAATAAACACTCGAGAAACAAAACCAAACACCTCACTACTGAAAAGAGGAGCTTTTTATTCTTTTCTTTTTTTTAATATGTATTCTCCTGTTACTTTTCCACGCGGACCAAGTGACGCAGGAAGTGTACGGCGAGCCAAGCCAGCATGTTACACGGGGCCTCATCTCTCAGGCAGGGACTTTAAAGGGCTGACTTTCTGCTTGTTTCGTGCCACCTCTGTTCCCTAATGCAATAACACGCAGGAGTTCATAAGCACCTCTCCTGCGACGCCATCTCCTCCGTGGCTCCAGATATTTCAGCCGGGATTCGCTGGTGAGCTTCTGCTGGATTCGGGTCTGCTGTCGATGTTGGAAGGCAAAAGTAATTGGCAACTCATTACACCTTTGTGGAGGGAGGGTTACAGCATCCACTCCGGAGACTATTTATGTCTGCTCTTGCCAGAGCGCTTCTCTGGTTTAGGGGATGGTGGGAGGCTGAGGAAGGAGTGCTCGTTGTAGACCATAATTAAATTCATAGTCGTCAGCTTCAAAAATCCATGAGCCTGACTCATAGTTTTGATCATTTCGAATCTGTTCTGCTATTAGATTGTGCAATCTTACCATGTCTGTCTAATGCTTTTTCTGAAGTGGTTTGTAATGAACACGCCCACGTGAAATATTGAAACGCCACAGAAAGTTGCACAGATTTCCACAGAATTGGAACTACCGTCATTCAGAAGTTCTACTCATTCCCTACTATGTTTGTTCAGTACACACTGGTGGAGCATGGCACTAGAAACAGGTTTGATTCCCAGGGAATGCACATAATTATACATTTAAAAAAAAATGTATGTCCTGAATGCATTGTAGGTTGCTTTGGATAAAAGAGTCTACCAAATGCATTAATGGAATTGCTAAAAAAATGAATATTTTGCTTTGTTTACTAGTAAAAATATCAACGTTTTCTTAAAACATTATTTGCCAAATTGCATAAAATATGGAGATTTATATATTTTAAAGAATATATATTATATAAACAATTATATATTTAATTAAATATTATAAACGTTAAATTAAAAATTACACCTTGCACTTTTGCTTCTGACGTTTTATTTTATTTTATTTTTTGTGTTAATGAAAAGATACATGACATGCAGGGAAAAATATGTATATTGTGGCCACGTAGCCTATTTAACAATTAATTAACATTATGTACTCAGCACGTTTTACTGATTCGTACCATCCTTTTGAGTAAATTGTGCACACAATATAATACACTCACCTAAAGGATTATTAGGAACACCATACTAATACTGTGTTTGATCCCCTTTCGCCTTCAGAACTGCCTTCTACGTGGCATTGATTCAACAAGGTGCTGAAAGCATTCTTTAGAAATGTTGGCCCATATTGATAGGATAGCATCTTGCAGTTGATGGAGATTTGTGGGATGCACATCCAGGGCACGAAGCTCCCGTTCCACCACATCCCAAAGATGCTCTATTAGGTTGAGATCTGGTGACTGTGGGGGCCATTTTAGTACCGTGAACTCATTGTCATGTTCGAGAAACCAATTTGAAATGATTTGAGCTTTGTGACATGGTGCATTATCCTGCTGGAAGTAGCCATCAGAGGATGGGTACATGGTGGCCATAAAGGGATGGACATGGTCAGAAACAATGCTCAGGTAGGCCGTGGCATTTAAACGATGCCCAATTGGCACTAAGGGGCCTAAAGTGTGCCAAGAAAACATCCCCCACACCATTACACCACCACCACCAGCCTGCACTGTGGTACCAAGGCATGATGGATCCATGTTCTCATTCTGTTTACGGCAAATTCTGACTCTACCATCTGAATGTCTCAACAGAAATCGAGACTCATCAGACCAGGCAACATTTTTCCAGTCTTCAACTGTCCAATTTTGGTGAGCTCTTGCAAATTGTAGCCTCTTTTTCCTATTTGTAGTGGAGATGAGTGGTACCCGGTGGGGTCTTCTGCTGTTGTAGCCCATCCGCCTCAAGGTTGTGCGTGTTGTGGCTTCACAAATGCTTTGCTGCATACCTCGGTTGTAACGGGTGGTTATTTCAGTCAAAGTTGCTCTTCTATCCAAATAGAGGTCTCTGCAGACGGTAATAGGAGTTACCAGATCAGGGGGGCGAGGCCATAAACAGAGGGGCGTTTTCAACCGCGTTACCTGATTTGCCCACGTCACAGTGTGGGTAGGTCACCAGTGTGAAAACACCCACAAATTTAGAAACACCCACTTTTGTTCCGCAGAGACCTCCTACTCCTTCTATCAGCTTGAATTAGTCGGACCATTCTCCTCTGACCTCTAGCATCAATAAGGTATTTTCGCCCACAGGACTGCCGCATACTGGATGTTTTTCCATTTTCACACCATTCTTTGTAACCCCTAGAAATGGTTGTGCGTGAAAATCCCAGTAACTGAGCAGATTGTGAAATACTCAGACCGGCCCGTCTGGCACCAACAATCATGCCACGCTCAAAATTGCTTAAATCACCTTTCTTTCCCATTCTGACATTCAGTTTGGAGTTTAGGAGATTGTCTTGACCAGGACCACACCCCTAAATGCATTGACCACACTGCCATGTGATTGGTTGATTAGATAATTGCATCAATGAGAAATTGAACAGGTGTTCCTAATAATCCTTTAGGTGAGTGTATATTATATAATAGGCTATATATGATATTATTTGTTCCCTCGTTTTATTAAATCGTAGCCACGTTGTAAAAATTAGTTAAATTAGTTTAATCAAAATAAGGGTATATGTATTAGTTCAACATGGCAACATGTGAACGAATTAAGTTGTGGGAATTCATTCTTAATTCGTGGCAGGATTTTAATAAAACAAGTGAACAAATTAGTAAATCGAAGCCACGATTTAGCTACTAAAACAAGAGAACAAATTCTTAATTCGTGCTTCAGTTTTATAATATATATTATGATTGTGTATGTGTGGATATATTATCTTATACAGTATCTTGTTTTAAGAGTATTTAGATATTTTTAATGGGAAACAAGAGTAAGATACTGATGAAAGAAAACAGTTTTAGCTAATTTGATTATGCTTTCAGATACCAATAAGACTGTGGTACACTCAGGTCTGTTTAAATCCATTCCAAATATTTTCTGCCGAAATTAGATCAGAAAATGTTGGCAGGTTCCGTCTCAACCTAGTAATGTGTGGAGAACAAAATGTGTGCTTTCTTGGGGTTTGCAGTACGTCAAGGCGCTTGATGTGGCTTAATGGTATGGCCAGTTATTGCTGTTTCAGGGTTATACTTGTTGAGATGCACATTTTCAGCATTTCTGAAAGGTTTAGGATGGCTCTCAGATTTTTCTAGTACTGAGCTTGGGTTGTTTTAATAGGGGCAGTGTTTTACCAGTGTATCAATCATACACCCAAACCCATCAGAAAAATCGTACAGTTATGTGTATACATGTTCATATTGCATCTCAGTCTCTGCGTCTGCATTAAAGCCACGGTAGCATTGCATTGTTGATGTTTTAAAAGATGTGTACAGCCACAGAAATGTAATGAAGATGCTTCAAGTCTTCAAAAACAGGATTGTATAAAGAAAAAGAATGATAATGGAAGATGACTGTATCTTTCCCATAGGTGCGATGGCTAAAACTCTGTGCCTGATGCAGTTCTTTTCTTTGTGTTTCATGAATGTCAGTCTCCTTTAGACACCTGTAGAAAACACACTGGTGTATGTTCTCCACCATGTTTCCTGAGGTCTGCTTCTACTTTATTATGCATGTGAATTAGCAGAACTCTGTAAATAGAGCTTTACATGTGTGTTTTCTGTTTGTGCATGATAGTTTAAAACGGTACACTCTGCACAGATCTTGTCAGGCCTTCTGAGGGGCCGGCTGAAAACAACACATGTCTGCCAGCTCTCCGTTCTGACTAAAGCCATATTTGTCCGCACCGGTGTACTGAATAGAATAAAGCTGAATACACTGAAATTATAAAGGTATAATGTTAGTCCAACCCTTTTTTCCTCATTCAAATGTTGATCCATGTGCAGTTGAAGCGAGTGGGCATTTCATTTTGGTACAATAGCGACACCTGGTGGTTGGAACTGATGAATTCATATTGTCCTTGTCTGATCCAGAATGTAACATTAGCTTGTAGCATTCAACTAAAGATCTGGATGGGTTGATAAAATAATATATACTATGTGTTTGCATATTTAGATTATTTTGATCTCCACAATTATGTGGTGAATGTAAAAAAAATATATACATTAATTATATTTTGGAGTTGGAGGATTGGGTTGGGGTTTCAGACATTTAGGAATGTTAATAATAATTACACAGCCAATTATTTCCGTTTATGTCACATTATCTTATTTAGGCTAAAGACAATATTGTGAAATGGCCTTTTTAATAATTAGGACAATAATGTTGTGAAGAAAATATCCCAAGAAATTAGACTGAACATAAGAAAGACAGAGTTCTGTATTTTAAAGTGGGTTGTGTTTCAAATGAAGACTTTAGAGTTTGGAAAACAAGGGTGATGATGTGGTACATTCAATTTAGCCTAATTGTAAGAAAAAATGTATATACCCATATTCACTTAATGATAGATCTGTACACTTTGCATGCAGAATATTTATCTATGTAGTTCAAGGCTAGCTGCCCATAGATGATTTTAATATACCTAATCAAACATGTACAGGACAAATGCATAGAGTTTATGCAATAAAAAGCATTTTTGTAATATTTGTGGCATCTTCACTGATTCCCAACTGTTTCCTTAAAAAAACAAAACAAAAACAAAAACATGATTTGCACCGTTAACACGCTATTGATCAGGCTGTATTAATAACCCTGTTTTTGTTGTAGGCTACTCCGTATCATCATGATTCATGATCAATGCAGTGCTGTAAAAACAAATGGTCCACTTTATTATGAGTGCATGATTTGAATAGACGGACATAAGTATAACATTGATATTGTTCCACTGTCACAATGAAGGCCACTGCAGAGTCAACCGCTGAGTCTCTTAGCAACAGACAGCAGTGGGGTTTTAGAATCGGGTGAGTGAATGATTCAGTGACTCATTCATAAAGACAGTCAATTATCTCCATCTATTGCTATTGCATAACGATGGCGTGTGCTTCCACCGACTGCTGGAGGTACCAGGTCACAACACACTTTAGAGTTACTTCAATAGACCTTATTCAGAGCAGTGCCATGACAGGTATAACAGGTAACAGCGAGACTGTAAAGGGATAGACTTACCGTTTTCAATGGCATCCGCTGTAAAAATCTGTAAATAAAAAACTCTTAGATCACTTATAATTTCCACAGCTCATATTGTAAGGAGTTTTATGTCTACTGAAGTTTCTTGGAAATATATTTTTGCAGTGTTTTGTCAGCAGAACAATCCAAAAATACATTAAATAACAGGAGGCTATTTAGGCCTACAACTCAGGGAAGAGATCACTCGTTTTCATTCCAGTTAAAAGCGCTGCTGTGAATAGGTCTATCCACGTTATTTTTCAACACAGAACTTTTAAAGGTGTTTTGTACAGCTAGAAATAGCTGGAAGCGAATGACATGGAAGCCAGACAGATTCAAATTACAAATGGCCGCGCCCACTCTTACCTGAAAAAGGCATAGATAGACAGTAAAAGAAAAAGGTGGAGTAGGCCTAGCCTACAAAAAAATCGCGTCATGGAGTAGCGTAGCGATAACAAAAATGACGACTAAAATCTCAAAGAAGTTGTGAAATAACTTAAATTATATTCCACGAACCTCAGAATCACAAGACAAAATACGGAAATCAGCGTGGGGGAAGATGATGAATTATTTTAAGGTGAGATTCTTAAATCAGTAAAATGTTCAGTGAGGATATTAAATTGTACAGTAGGCTAATAACATAACGTACAGCACAGACATTATCTTAATTTCATAATTTCCTTAAACATAATAGCTACTACCTGTGAGTTGCCCTAGATTCGTCAGGTGTGCGACCGCCTGTGGAACGCGCTCGTCCAATCAAATTTGAGCACCAGAGCCAAATTTGACTGAGATATAGAGCACAAAGACA